CTTTCTCATTATTATGACTTAGCTATCTCATAATAATGAGATACTATCTCATAATTATGACTTAGCTATCTCATAATTATGAGATAGCTTTCTCATTATTATGACTTAGCTATCTCATAATAATGAGATACTATCTCATAATTATGACTTAGCTATCTCATAATTATGAGATAGCTATCTCATAATTATGACTTAGCTATCTCATAATAATGAGATACTATCTCATAATTATGAGATAGTATATATCTCATATACTATCTCTTAAGTATGAGATAGCTAAGTCATGATTGAGATACTATCATAATTATGACTTAGCTATCTCATTATTATGACTTAGCTATCTCATAATTATGAGATACTATCTCATTATTATGACTTAGCTATCTCATAATTATGAGATAGTATCTCATAATAATGAGATAGCAAAGTCATAATGTATCTCATAATTATGACTTAGTATCTCATAATAATGAGATACTATCTCATAATTATGAGATAGCTAAGTCATATTTATGAGATACTATCTCATAATTATGACTTAGCGATCTCAATTATGAGATAGTATCTCATAATTATGAGATAGCAAAGTCATAATTATGAGATAGCTAAGTCATAATTATGAGATACTATCTCATAATTATGAGCTAATAATTGAGAGATAATAATTGAGAGATAATAATAATTGAGATACTATCTCATAATTGAGATACTATCTCATAATTATGAGATAACTAAGTCATAATTATGAGATAGCAATAATTATGAGATACAAGTTTTGTTTATTTTTTTATCAGGGTGGTGGAAATGGGCTTCCATACCACGCCGGGTCAATGCAAAACCTTTTTTTTTTAATCCATTTTGTTTACCTTGTTTGAAGCCTCATCTTTAATTAAATATTAATGTTACAAATGTCTTTGGCAGCGTGGAGCACACAGATTACCTTTTCCTCATAGTTGGGTAGCGTGTCCTTGTGAATTGTAATAATGTCCATGTACGAGTAGCCTTGTTCTTTGCGAATCCTCTCCAGCTCTGGGTCTGTTTCATAAATATCAGCATTCAGCTGCACAGACATGAAAAGTGACAAATAAACTCACCCGTCTGACAAATGTGTTATTGTTTTGGAGCCACTCTCGTTACATAATGCATGAAACTAAAACACGACTGTTGATGTTTACTGAGGCGCAAAACCGGAAAGAAGTTGTAATTTACCTTCCAGTAGAGAACTCCAATCTCCTTTAACTCGTCCAAAGAAACAGGCTGGTTTGGATTCAGCCTGTGTGGCTTCCTTTGGTCCTCGTCAGAACTATCCATGTACCAGGCTTCTAGGCCCATGTTAAACACTGCCAACACTTATTCAGCTCTTAAAAAGAAGAAGGAAAAACTGTCTGATTAAGTTTTAAGGCACGTTTTGAAAGAGACAACACAAGCTAGGCTGCGTCACTTTGCTTCCTGTATTGAAGCCAATCACAGCTTAGCGACACGCCCCCTTTGTGACGCATTTAAAGCAGGGCTGTCATATGATTAATCTTTTTAATCTGATTAATCCCAAAGTAGCTGTGAATTAATCATGATTAATCTTAAATTTCATATAAATTTCTATTGCATATTGGTAAAATAAATTACTTGAGTTAGTAATTAGTTTTTAATGTTTTTATTTAGAAAACAAAATTGATGCTTAGACATGATTTTTTTTGATTATTATTCTTTTCTTAAGAAAATTTGAACAACCCTGCAAAAAGTCTTCAACTGACAAACAATGGCTGGATTTTCTCACGCTGTGTTTGAGAGTATTTAATTTATTTACAGTAAAAATTAATGTAAAACTGGTGAGGAGAATATACTGTACAATCTTTTTGTAACTACATTACTTTCCAAGTAGTTGAACATGTGTAACAGGTTAAATGTATACACCTTACCAAAACAAGGGTTTTGTGTGCAAGGATGTTGAACAAATACTTGGCCCCTCTAGAAATATTGGGCGGAGCTCAGTTTAGTAATAATAATAATAATACATTTTATTTCAAAGGCGCCTTTCTGGCACTCAAGGACACCGTACAAAGAGTAAAAAGTAACAGAAACAAATAAAATGTAACAAAAAATAGATAAAAATAAATAAAAACAATGTATGTATATAAAATCAATGTAAAAATCTAGTGTTCTGATTTAAGTTTGTGGAAAAGTAAGGAAATACTGCCCTCTAGTGGCAAACAGTAGGATCTGTGGTGGTATCCGGTTTTATTGTGAAAGGCTGGACAGGAAGTGAGTATTGTCGCTGGTGATGTAGCTTGATGTTGATTTTACGTGTTGAAGTTGCTCTACAAACGTCTCGTTTGAATCCTTGCTTCAGAATAAAACAGACTTGTAGATTTATTTATTTTTTGCATGATATAATCCTTAAAAAAAWTTTTAGCAAAATTTTATCTAAACTACTTAAATCTTAAAGGGATATCTTGTTTTTGGTTGTAAGGTTTCGAATGAATGTTGAAGGAAACGTCATCTAAAACTAATTCAGTGTACTGTTGGAGAAATTTAATTATTGAGGTGTCTGTCAAAAATAGAGTACTACAAACCTTTTTCCCAAAACAAAGTAAAACGGGACTGCATTTTGAGTAAATTAACCTACAATAGAGCTTATTTATTGCCAGAAATACAATCATTAATTTGTGAATGTGTGTAAACAAATTGTAACTACTTCTGTATTAGCTTCTTACTGTGATTTTGTGGATAAGTCCTTTGAGTAATTGGATAAGAAGATGTAAGTGGTTAATCCCCAAGTGTTAATCCGTCAAAGATAAGATAAACAATTTTACTGCGAAATACTTACTAATGCGAGGACATTTTGTAAGTATTGTAATGTAAACACAGGTCAAAATATCATGATCCGACGAGGATGGGATTCGAACCCACGCGTGCAGAGCACAATGGATTAGCAGTCCATCGCCTTAACCACTCGGCCACCTCGTCTGATGACGTGAGACGAATACCTAAACACTTACATTGATATCCTTCTGTGTATTTATGTTTTGCATATATATATGTTCATTAATCTGACTCTGTTCTTCCTTCGTTATTATTTTGTTCCCAAAAACTGATCTTACACTGGCTAAGGTACCATCTGTTTATTACAGAAGACCAGTCTACCTCTATTAACGGTTAAAAAAAAATATATATATATATATACAGTATATACATATAATCTGACTCTGTTCTTCCTTCGTTATTATTTTGTTCCCAAAAACTGATCTTACACTGGCTAAGGTACCATCTGTTTATTACAGAAGACCAGTCNGAGAGAGAGAGAGAGAGAGAGAGAGAGAGAGAGAGAGAGAGAGAGAGAGAGAGAGAGAGAGAGAGAGAGAGAGAAAGCAAACTGTCTCTGCTGCACCATAAATCTGCCACTTGTTAAACAATGTGGCAGGTGTTGAAGATAAATGACTCAGAAGTAAAGTCTATATACATATATACATACATACATACAGTATATACATACATACACAGTCTATATTGGTAGGAATTTGTTAGTAAATTCAGCATCTGATTAGAAATGCTTCAAATCTCTTAATTATTCACATTCGCCAAGCTCTTTTCAGTTCCATGTTCTTATATGACAAAAATAAAATAAAATCTTGAACTTAGTTTATTTGATAATAATGGTCTACATCCATTCCACAGGCTTCGATTCTAGCTTCAAAGATTTCAAAATAGCACCTAGTAAAATGGAGGATTTTTTTTTTCATTGCTTGAATACCATGCTGCGCCAATTATGTCCACCAGGGGGAGACAAAGACCAAAATATCAAACTGAGGAGCCAAGAAAGACATTTTGACCCCTGTGGTTTATTTAAAGGCCATTGTGGGAGGATGTGTTAAGACACCATGAGCTAATTTTAATAGTTGCCATTTAGTGGTTTATGTAAATGTTTGTACCACAGTTTTGTGGAGTTATTTCAGTTTTAGGTCATGTATGTGTCATAATACTACTTTTGTTTTAGTCTGAAAACTTCAATGTTCACAAGCTAATGTATTTATGTTTCTGCTGGTCATCATGTGAGGTGGTTTTAATTTTTATTCTAAATGTAGGTGCATGATGAAACCTAACTGTTACCATCAGTGTGGTAAATAACGAAGGAGAATTCAGAGGGGATCAAACATTTATTTACCCTTATTAAAAGTTACAATAAAACCATTAACATCTTCAAACGATAGCAAAATAAAGAGAACCAAAAATATCGGCCAAAACATATTTACAGAGACAGTTTGCAGATAAAAAGCTCACATTTTGTACACAATCCCAACCCCTGCATCATAAACTCTGAAATGTGAACACTGCAACACTCGAGAGAGAAGCTTGAATGTGGTTTTAGCCAGAAAAAGAATCAAAAAGCACGAACAAAGACTTTGCTCTTATCCAACGTCCCCTCCTTGATGTTCACTTTTCTATACATGACAAAATACTTGAAATTCGGGGGGTAAAGCAAGGAATGTAAAACCTAAAAATTAATAAGATCATTTGAAAAAATCGATGTGTCCATATAACAGTCATTTCGAGTGAAAGAGATGGTCTGCCCCTTTCTGCAATGGTGAAAAAAAATTTTGATCCCACAAAGATGAGAAAGAAAATAACACGTTATAGGGCTGCCACGCTGTTAAAAAAGATGCTTTTCCATGAATTGGGAAAATAAGTCGCTCCACGTCCAGTCCATTACCTTCGCCACACGCCAGTCCCTGTGTGTACCATGAGGGGGGGAGGGGGGGGCGACGCAAACCGACGTGGTCATCATGAGRGGGCCCGGTGAGATTCCGTCTGTCGAACTAATAAAAAGGCAGTGAACTGGTGGTTGAATCAGCAAACGCGATATATCCTTTTGTCGTCTTCTTTTTTGTAGTTTTGTTTATAACTTTTGAGAACGTGGCACATGTCTCTCATATATATATTTATATACTTTAATCTTGGAAAATTAGTTCAGGTGCCGTGGCCGGGTGCAGTCACTCTGCGTTGGTCTCGCCCTCAGAGGCTGCAGGTGTTGTGTCCTCGGCAGGGGCGGCGGCGGCTGCCTCCTCAGCGGGGGCAGCCTCTGTTGGTGGGGCCTCCTCCGCTGCCTTGGTCTCTCCCTCGGCTGCAGGAGCGGCGGCGGTGTCGGCCGCCGCTTCGTCCTCTTTGGCCTCGGCGGCTGGTGTCTCCTCTTTGGTTTCCTTGGCCGTGTGGCCGTTCTCCTCCGGCTTATCCTCGGTGGCGGGGGAGGCCGCTTCCTCCTTACCCTCCTCGCTGGCCTTCTTGTTCTTCTTCAGCGAGATGCCCTTGAACTTAAAGGAATTCTTCAGGGAGAACTTCTTCTTCTTCTTGCCCTCTTTGGCGGCCTCGCCCTCCGCTTTGGCGGCCTCGCCCTCAGCAGCGGGAGCCGGCTCAATGGCATCCCCACCGCTGGCTTCCCCTTCCTTGGCCGGCTCAGCGGTTCCATTCCCATCTGGAGCGGCCGCTTCTCCGTCGGGCTTGTCGGAAACGTCCCCGTTGGTTTTGACGTGACCGTTCTCCTGTAAAAAATATAAAACAAACACTCATTAATTGTTTTGATCTAAACAAAAAGTAGATACAATTCTGTGTGAACACAAAAAGACCTGCACACAGGATTGCAACGCCACGAATAAGCATGTCAACATTGTTGGTACAGACAGGATGTGACAGCTGCCTGTAGGACTCTGAGCTGACACAAGGGGGCAGCAGTGCTTCGTAAAAAACACCAACAGGGTCTGAGAAGTTGGGAAACAAAGGAATCCCCGAGAAACCTGGTTCCAGCTCTCATCCAAGAGCTGCAGTGTGCGTCTGAACAGCGACGGAGCCCAGGCTTTTCACATCACCGCATAAAAAACTGGTTTAAAAAAGAAATACGCAAATTACATTAAACAGGAAGAAGGCAGGGCGTAAAACTAAAGCACCACGACCGAAAAAAAGCATCGAATATTAACAGTGATCTGTTAGACTCAAACCCAACATCACTACTAACACACTGTTGCTTTTCAAGAACTTTTTTTGTGGAAAACCAGTAAAGAATGCAGACTAAAAAAAAACAGCTTTAATGGCGACCGCTAAGACGGGGTCTAAAGTGGCGCCTGTTCGGGCTTTGTTCGCCGAGTCCGCAAAATGCGCCTCCAGCAGAGCGCATTTGCATCCTTTGCGCCGCTCGTCGCACATCCTTTGTTCGACGCAAAATGCTCGAACTCGGCCTAAAGCAGCCAACTCATGACAGAAAACCCGTTCCTGAGGCATCGTACGACAACAATATGAGCACTTTGCTGACAATTTGCCGCTAAATGGCCGCTTTGGGAGCACCAGACGGATGTAACAAAGAGACAGAGGCGGTGCGCGCTGAGCGGGTACGAGCTCGACGGCTGCGGGTCCAACACACGTTTTACATTCAGTTTAAGGTTGTTTTTTTCTTAATGTTGCAACTAGAGGTTTGAGTATCAGGATGGCAGCAGCGGCCCTGGGTCGGACCGTGGCACCACATGCTGCCAGTGGGCGTTGGGTGCCATGTGGCGCCCCAATGATGCCCCCCCCCACCCACCAAGCCCCATCAGGCCTCCTTCACCCACCTGGCCGTTCGCTTTGGCAGCAGCAGGGTCGGCGGCTTTCCCCTCCACAGCTACTCCACCCTTGGACAACTGGGCTCCCATTGTACTCTCCTTTAGGCGCTCTGAACAAAACAAAAAAAAAAAAAAGAAAAAAAAAAGGAAAATCGAAAAAAAGAAAAAGCCCGGGGAGTTTTGGAGGTTTAAAAATCCAGCTCTGGGATCGGCGTGAGGTCTTGCTCCAAGGAGATGAAAAAAAAATAAAGAACGGGTCTCCTTCCTTGTAAAATTTGGATAGCGAGAGGACCACCCCCCTTTCTGAGAGTGTGAACCCCACGGTGGCTGAGCTCAAATTAAAGGACGGCAGGCAGACGCTTGTGAGTATTTCAACCGCGCCTCGAAATCGACCGGAGACTCCTCCCACTGGGCGGGGCGCCGGGCTCCATCCAATCCGCACACGGAGGGGGTTGGACCTTCTTCAGCCCCTCCCCCCGTCTCTGAAACAGCCACTGACGAGCTCTGACTGCAAGACATTTAAAACTCATGAAACTAAACTTCATTGTCAACTGGTGGTGTGCGATACTGCAAAATCTGGTATCGATCCATTAACAAGTAAATGCAGGGCAAGTATCATGACTATCATCTGATCTTTTTAACTTCTGAGTGAAGTTTTATCATCAAATTGTTTGAAAATATTCTTATGACTTTTCTGTGACACATATTTTACTATGTTAATTAGTTCGTTACATCAGTATAACAATCATTTAGGGAAATTAGAGTAAAAAAAAACCAACAACTTGGAGAATTATTTTTTTCGAGATGAAATAAAATCTGAGAACAGAATGACTGCTGAAGAAGGTGAAATTAAGAGCGTGTGGTTAAAGTAGAGAAATGGGAGCAAAAAAWGTCAAAAAATCATAAAACCCCCACAAATGCTTCAAATAACAAAACACTAGTTAAAAGCTAAAGAAAATCAGTATAATAGCTAAAAGTAGTAAAACACAGTATTGTCTACAAACTAAATGAAGTAAAATGGTTGCCTAAAATAGGAAACTGCCAGCCAAAAGCCACAAGCAGTAAATTGTTAGCTAAAAGGTAAAGAAAGGAAGATGTTAACTAAATTTAGAGCTAAAAATAACATGAAACATTAGCTAAAAGTGACAAAAGGCTTCAAACAATGAATCAGCATTCAAATGAATATCATTGTAATAGAAGTGGAATAATTTCTAGAGATGGAAGTAGTTTTACAAGAGTAAACTGATGAAAACACTCCAAAGACCTTGAGGTGACACCAGGTTAATTTTGCACTTGAAACAGCCAGTCGAAGTGTAATGATGTCCCATTTGATGAAAAAAATAGCAACTCTGGCCATTTCGTTTTTTTTTTTTTTTTTTTTTGAGAGCCCAAAGCATATGGTTCCCCTTTCCCATAATCATTGAGGTCTGATGTCAGATCTTAGTTATGAGTCGTAACCACCTTGTTCCAACAATTTATTCAAGCTTATCGACAAATAATGACTTAACCTACAAAACTTCATCATTTCCTCCATTATTTTCCAGGCATCTTGTTTGCAGATCCATCATACCCCTACCGCTTCCTCCGCCACTCTGTTCTTGTTTGCGTCAACTTGACAGCACACACATCTCCCACCGCACAAACACTCCCCCACACAAACATGTCACAGCCGTGGTATGTGAGGCATGCAAACACCACCCAGAGAATGATCTCCAGCCATTCAGTGGGCTGAGCCTCCCATAGTAGAATATACCCCAGAGGGATTTGAGACCTACACCCCCACCTAACCCAACCAGCACCACTTCATACATTCTCCCAGACTGAGTCAATACTGAGGAGCACGTGGTGGGTTTTAAAAGCCCCAATCTCACCATCTAGTAGTGCGTGCATATCTCAGCCGAGGTTTGAAATTCCTGTCTGATGTGGGACGCCCGAGCCGGCTCCCGGCTCTGATGAGGTCTATACATTAAGGCTGTCAGATTTCAAAGGAATGCCCCCGGTTTGATCAAAGTCCAAGTCCCTGCTGTTCAGAGACTAGAATCTAGGTAGAGCTGTTGCTGTTATAAAACGTTACTTGATCAAACCGTATAAAGAAACGCTCAAATATAGAGTTACAACTTGTCATTTTTCATATTCTATTGCACTGCACTGTCAAAAACAATTCATTTTTCAGCATTGTCATGTAACTAAGTACAAATACTTTGTTACTGTGTTTAAGTTTTGTTAAATCTCGAAGTCTGCGTGATGTCATTCAGTCACGTGATTTCAACCTCCGCTTTTGAATGGGGGAAAACTCGTGTGACTCTGTTACAAATTTTATGTCAAAAGTAGACTTCAAATTATACAGCAGTTTTTAAATTGTGCCGATAGGTCAAGAGTTAAGAAAACCAGAATTATGATAAATAGCAGATCTTACTAATTTTTTTTCTGAAAATGGACGTTCTATTTTGAAGTGCGTTGCAGCTGAAGAGAGCAGGAAACACGGTAATCTCGTGGAAAAAACACCGCTGTCCACCGTCAGTCTCATCTTTCTCTTAAACCGAAAAAATATAACTCCCCCAGACCTCCTTTTTGACTGAGGCTGAAAGTTATCTGACAAGCAGCAAAAAATCTACAGGAAGAAGGAAATAAAAAAGGCGAAATTTAAATGGAGATTAGCAGCAATGAAGAGCCGGTGAGAGCAGGATTTTATTAATTAGATCTGTGACTTTTAACATGTTTGGATTTTATAATTAGTGTGTAGTTTTGAGTCAAAAAGAAAAAATTAGTASGTCCTCTGGATGGGTTCTTTAGTGAAACGTTTCGTCTTTCCTCCAAGAGACTTCTTCAGTCTGATGAGTTTCAGGTGAAGCTCAGACTTATAAGCCCTACCTCCACCTGGACAAACAGGTTGGTCACATGCAAAAGAGGGCCATCGCCTAACAATAGGCTTGATTAACTCTATTTAGTCACATGCAAAAGAGGGCCATCGCCTAACAATAGGCTTGATTGGCTCTATTAGAGGGTCATGTGCCCCATCACCTGACCCGTGTCGTGTTATGTGAATGTAGTGAATGCAAGCGGGGCTCGACGTCCCCTTGTTTTTGTCCCTCTCTCCCTTTTTGTGTTGGTATCATTGGGGCCCTGATTCACACCTTTTGCTCACAGGGGGCTGAGTCATACTTGCAATAGTAGTTTTGAGTGTTTACTCTTCATTTTAGCCAGTTTTAGTGTGTTTTGTATCAAAAAATGAGGCAATTCTTTTTAAACAAGGAGAAGCAGGGAGGTCTGCAGAGGCAGAACGACAACATGTGTCTTATTTCTCTCCCCTCACTCTTGCAGTTAGAAAAAATAAATATTTTTTCTCTGCATGTTTTTTATGTGAGAAGTGCAGTCCTACAGCAACTTTTCACAATTTTTCCTATTTTCCACATTGAGGAACTCATCCTAATTCCCCCCAAACCAATACGTATGTCAGCCTCCCGTCTACAACATGGTCACGTGACAAAGTACCCGGCTGTTCGACTTTGAGAATCTGTTCTTTACTTGAGTAATTATTTTTCAGCCTACTTCTTACTTCTTTTATCTGTACTTTCTACTCCTTACATTTAAAAAAAGGTGAGACGTAGAAAGTTGTTTCTCCTATTTCATTTAGTCTTGTTAATATTTAAAAAATACTATCCTGAAAAATTGTGGCTCCTAGATTGAGTGAATTAAATTGTGGTTAGATGAGAAGTATGTACCATTATAATACTGTAGCAAGTTTGTACATAATCCATCAAAGCTGCACACCTTCAGAAAGAATATTTTTGAAGAGGTCACCTCCCAAAAAATGTATTTTGGAAAATGATTTTTACTCAGTACTTTTACTTTTATTATTTAAGTACAAAATAATTCACATACTTGAAGACTTTTCCTCAAGTAACATTCTTAGAGGAGACATTAACTTTTACCAAAGTAATTTTATGATAAGATACTTGTACTTTTACTCAAGTATCACTTTCAGGTACTTTATACAACACTGACATTTATATTGGCCTATATTTAGATTTAGCCAGGCTATAGATGCTTCATGTTTAAGTTTTTTTAGTCAAGTTAAACCAAACAGCTGTTTGTGTTCACAGAAATAGTGCAAGAATCCGTCATCAAATGTAGCTTTGAATAGAAACAATCACAGAAAGAAGATAAACTGTCTCATATGTCATAATATTAGCACACGTTTTTTGGGAAAAGATGCTTTTTTACAGACCAGAAAAGAGCAGGTTTGGCAGTAAATGCTGACAGTAAGACAACACCTTGCAGTACATAGAGAGAATAAATAAACACATTCTAAAGATTACAAGTCCAGAGTAGTTTGATGAATGATTTAATTGGTGGCTGTTGTGACTCACGTCGAACATGGCGCTTCTACTTTTCGCACTCTTCTTTCCCCTCCCCTCAGAGCCTCTCAATGCCTCCATTTGTGCCGTTGCCCATTTTTCATGCCCTAACACAGGATGAGCTCTCAAATCCTCACTAAAAAGCCTCCATTGTCTCTTAAGTCTCAGCGAGTCAACTGATGAGCATCACAAGTAGGGGAGGGTGGGGGTGTGGGGGGTGCAAGGAGAAAGGAGAAGAGGGGTGAAGAGAATCAGAAGTGGTTTCTTTTGATTTAGGGAGGAGCAACATTTTTGATGGTCACCTAGTGCACAGCAGGGCGATGAATATGTTGATTTCCCAAGGTTCCTGTGTTTGTAAGTAATTCATGCGCGCACAATCACCAAACAGAGCACAGGCTGTTTCCTGTCGCTTCCGACGGTACGAACGGCAAGATCTTGCAAAATCTTTTAAATCAGACGTTTAAATTGGGTCATTTTAAAAGACAGCGTTCCAGAACTGATTTAAAGACATAAAAACAAACAAACCAAAAGTACGAAGGCTTAGCTACAAATTAAAACACCACTTTTTTGTATCTCACATGTGAACACAGTAAAAAAAACAGCTTTGTTTTCATACGGGATGTAAATTTGATTTTAGATGTCTGGTCTTGTTTGGGGTAGATACAGCATTTGCATTGCCAAGCACCCAATTACAGGGAGAGTATGGTGCAGAGCCCTCTTCACTGACATGAATGGGGGGTGTGTGGACTTAAAAGAAAGCTCTTTGTGATGCTAATTAATTCGATCAACTGGCTTATTGACTGCAAAAAGGCCCTCACCAGCAGGCAACCACAAAGCTGCACATGGTAGCCATCTTGGCCCTGGGGGGGAGCGCTCCTTGTGTAGACGGGTCTTTCTGTCAGGCTCTGGCGGGGGCTCTCAGAAAGGAGGAGGAGGATGAGGACGGTGATGAAGGTAACGGGGACGTCCAGCAGTGCGTGTTTTGACTCGCCTCAT